TGGGATGGGACCCCCCCACAGGGCTTCTCCACTCCCCAAGTGCCCCCCGATCCCCACTCACAGGGTGCCCCGTAGAGCATCCGCATGACCTTGAGGCAGTTGTCCAGCAGTGCCTTGGGGCGCACGGCCTTCCTCCGGCTCTCGGCGCCCGCGCTGTGGAGCAGCTTCACCAGGTCGGCCACCACTGCCTCCACGTCCGTCTGCAGGGACAGGGGGACAGAGCACCGGGATGGCACCCAGGGGTGCAAAAGGTGGGTGGACAGGGGGACAGGGCACCGGGATGGCACCCAGGGGTGCCAAAAAAAAGTGGGTCTGCTGCATTGGCCGGGAATCGAACCCGGGCCTCCCGCGTGGCAGGCGAGAATTCTACCACTGAACCACCAATGCCAGATATGCATAAATCCACGGGCCTGCCCCACGGTCCCAATACCAGTGCATCCCAGTGACAGGGACAGCTACTGGTGGATGGGAAACCCCTCCACCCGAGAGGGGACCCCGACACACAGCTCTGATGCTGGGGATCCAGCCATCACCTCCTGCAAGGGGGTTGTCATTAGGCTTCAGAGTTAACACTCGCACCAGAAGGCCCAGCAAACCTCACCCTCTGCCTGCAGGGGCTGCAGGACCTGTCCCACGGCACAGGGCACCCCAGCCACACTTTGGCTTCACCCCGGACACCCAACTGGGACAGACCACCCCCACCCACCCACCTCGCAGCCCCCATTGCCCCGGGCCAAGGACCCTCACTGCCACCACAACAAGGACCCTCATTGCCACTAAACCAGGGGCACTGAGTGCCCCCACGCCAGGGTGACTCACTGCCACAGCGCCAGGGCCTGTGACCGCCACCAAACCAGTGACCCTCCCTGCCCCCCGCACCCTGCCCATGCCAGCCCTCCTGCCGGACCCACACCCAGGGTGGTCTGGGGTCCGGGGGGGCCCCGGGGTCTCCCCACCTGCCGGTACTTGCTGTACTCCTTGCCCAGGGCGTCGAAGAGCTGGCACAGCTCCTGGGTGTACCTCCAGGACGGGTGCTTCTCCAGCAGCACCTCGCGGATGCGCAGCACGGCCTGCGAGCTGACGTGGAACCAGAGGTACCGCAGGGCCACCTCCGACACCGTCCCGTTGCGCTGCGGGCGAGAGGGCGGCCCGGGTGAGCCCCGCGCCTCACTGCAGCGTCCCCACCGCGGGGCCGTCCCCTGCCGCTGTCCTTACCAGGCGGGTGATGTTGGACGGCCTCAGCACCTCCTCGTACTGGACGCGGACCGTGTAGTCGATGGGGAAGTAGTGCTTCTGGAAAGGCGGAGAGGAGGGCAGGGGCTGGTGGCAAAGTGAGGGGGACGTCCCTGCCGACGTCGGCAGTGAAGTGACGGGGACATCCCTGCAAACCTCGGTGGCCAAGTGATGGGGACATCCCTGCCGACCTCGCAGGTGAAGTGACAGGGACATCCCTGCCATCCTCAGCGGCAAAGTGATGGGGACATCCCTGCTGGCCTTGGTGGCAAAGTGCTTGGGACATCCCTGCCAACCTCAGAGGTGAAGTGATGGGGACATCCCTGCTGGCCTTGGTGGCAAAGTGATGGGGACATCCCTGCTGGTCTTGGGCAGCAAAGTGCTGGGGACATCCCTGCTGGCCTCAGCAGCAAAGTGACGGGGACATCCCTGCATCCCTGTTGGCCTCGGCCTGACG